AAGATGTTTGATGGTATAGTAAGGGCACTTGAGGTGAAACATGTACCTGACATGAAAAGAATTTAATATCCTGGAGTTTGTTAGATAAGAAGGGTTATAAATACAGTAACCAAGATGGTGTCTTGAAGGTATCTAAAGGAGCCTTAACTATTATGAAAGACAAGTTATCCAGTGATCTTTATTGTCTAATGGGAAACACGATCATTGAAACTGTTTTCGTGATTTCATCTAATGATCCTGAAGATGATGTAACACATTTATGGCATATGAGATTGGGTCATATGAGTGAGAGAAGGATAGAAAGTGAGATTTTTCTCAGGTGGCATCAAAGGGTGGATCATTATACAAGTGGACTTTTTTATGATAATTTTTCAAGAAAGGTGTGGACGTATTTTCTGAAGGCTATGAGTGAAGTGTTGACCACCTTTTTGCATTGAAAAGTATTGATCGAGAAGCAGACTAAGAAAAGGATGAGAGCTTTCAAACAAACAAAGGTTTGGACTTTTGCAAAGGTGAGTTTGGTCTATTCTACAAGAACTACAATTAAATCAATCAAAAAAATATAATTGTATTAATAAAAATTAAATTAATAATAAAATATTATTAATATATCAATTTTAACTTAATTAATTTTAATTATTTTAATTTTAAATAGAATTTAACTTTAAAAATCACTCTCAGTTGTTTTTGTTGCCACGTGGAGGCCATCCACGAGAATGCTAACAACTGAATAAGTAGATCGAAATTGATAGAATTCGATTTAATTTATTTTGTTGTGATTTTAATTGATGTTTTATGTAAAAGAACTACAATTAAATCAATCAAAAAAATTAATTGTATTAATAAAAATTAAATTAATAATAAAATATTATTAATATATCAATTTTACCTTAATTAATTTGATTATTTTATTTTAAAATGGAATTTAACTTTAAACACTCTCAATTGTTTTGTTGCCACATGGAGGCCATCACGAGAACGATTACGCCGTCCAACTGACCCATTTATTAAAGATATTTGATTATCTGATTCCATATGCACCAAACAGAAGCAAAAATGTTTCCTTTCACCCATCTCTCCCGCCTCAAACTCGACTCAGCGTCTCCTCGCTGTTGTTTCTCAAAGCCCTCAGCTTCACTATCACTGCTTTGAATGTACCTTTTCATTGAGAAAATATATGGCCACGTCCATAAACAGTTGATATTGGGATTGTGGTTGTTGGTCGTTTATGCTGCTCGGACTTATGCATTCTATTCTAAAATTTTGCTTCCTAAACCTTGCACGTTGTCAGCTTGCATTGTAGGCCACTTACTTCACAACAGCGATAATGCAGTTCATTAATTGTACTCCATCTGATAAACGTTTCCCAATTACTTTGATGTTATTTGTTATAGTGACTGCACTGCAAGTGTTTCGGACTGGAACGCTTTAGCGGATATTGATTTGCTTTTAAATACAATTTTTGGTGAGGAGAAGTTCAAAGTGTTACCGTTGTGGAACTTCCGACTGCTCCCTCCCTGCCACGGAGATCGAAATGCAAAGTCATATCATTCAGACAATGCGGTATTAGGCCTGAGATCGTTCCGGGGGCGGTCAGGAGCTTGAGACCGTTCCCGATGTCCTGATGAGGGCGGTGCAGAGCCTGAGACGTTCCTAGTCCCTGCGAGGACTGTGAAACTGAAATTGCGAACGGTAGCGAAGAGGCGGATTGAAAAACTGTGCAGTTGTATTTGCAAAAAAGTTTCAATTTTCCAATCGATAAAGATAGTAACTAATAATGTGATGGAACATAAGCTTTTTTTTTTCAAATTTCATTTGTTCATACCATATCCTGGATATCATGTTACGGGATATGAATGTTGCTGGATATAACTGGATATGAATTCTTTTTAATAGAACCTTAGAGCTGGATATGACTGTTTTTTAATAGAACCTAAGAGCTGGTACTGTTTAGGATTTTTATTTCTTGTTCATTTATTTTGCACTATGCTTGTGTGAAAATTTTGTTTTTGAAATGGCATACTTCAGTAAGACAATCTGTGAGAAAATCCAAGAAAGAAAATCTAACAACAAGCTGAATAGGTTTAACAATAATGGTTTTTAATACTTATATAATTGTTCTGTCTGCATCAAGGTTGGAATTAAAACTTCACATATCCAAATGTTGCCAACAACTCCATCATGTTCTCATGAGAGACTTATGATGAAGACATTTCTTCTCCAGGGGAAAGTTCAAGAATCACAGCTCTCGGACTCTTGATGCAGATGACTGTTACCAGAGATACTAGTGATTATCTGAGGTACACAGCCAGGTGAGGCACTGCAGTTTAATACTCTTAGAATTCCTGTTACCAAATTGTTGAATAGAAACTTGACATTCATCAACAAACCTCATTCTTTCTTTAATTATCTGTGAAGTTTGGTACTTGCACTAAGAAAGATTTGAAGGTATCATGACAGAACATCATTAGTATAGATGGACTTACTCAGAAAGGTCTACAAATTTCGTGAAAAGACTCAATCTGGTAAAAAGCAATTTGCTGGAATGTAATTGATGCAATTCACTGCCCTCATATCTCTGCTCCAACGAATTTTCTGGGGATCTTGAGATTGAACTGGACAGAGAGAGGAGGAAACTAGAGATAATCCGTAGCCAACCGCCACTCCATATTTGGTATCTACAGTTTAAATCATTTTACATGTAGAAGTTGTTAGACACAAATACTTCTGCTGCTTGTATCTATATCTCTTCACATAGTCCATAGTGCCCAAGGCAGTTGCCATAGAAATATGTACATCAAAGTGGTCGAAGCAATAACCTAATAATTTCTTGTTGTCTTAATTTTGCACCTGTGTTGCCATTAGTCCATCAGAATCAGTTCCACCAGGAGGACAAATGCCCACTCTTAGTGTGGATTCAGTTGGCCATGCTCTTCATGTCTTCATCAACGGACAGTTCTCAGGTATGTTATGGATTTACTCATCATTGATGTATGCATTACATGTTGATAACACTGACTTTTGATATTTTCATTCTTAAGTCATACAAAGTCATATGATAAAATCACTGGGTCAACCTTTGGAACCAGGTGGAATTGGATAAAGGATAACTGGGGTTTTCCTTGAATGCGAAGATGAATTTTTTTTATGTGGGGTTTGAGCGGACAAGACGATGTTGACACTACCTCTCTGCTTTGTTGCTATTCGGTCAATCCAATTTATAGGGTGTTTTTTTTTTGTCTTCTTCGAGATATTCTCATATGCGAGTGAGTACACGATAAGAAGGAAACTACTGCAGATAGTGACTGAGTTTTGATTTGTACTTGGCTCATTTTTTGTATAATTTAGGCAGGGATCGAGTTCATATGTCAACTTTAAATGTTGGGGCACTGTCTCAAAGGGAAAAACCATTAAATTTAATGGACTATCCTTTTTGGGATTCATTAGGAAAAGCCTAAGAGATCAAAGAGAAACTTGAAAATTTCACACTCCATTGAAGAGGGTAGCTGTGATTAGAATAGAATCAATTAACTTAACCTTGTCTTTCATTTGAGAGAAAAATCAGAGGGAAGAGGACAGTTATCTGGAAGAGAAAGGCCCGTCCAAGTGTTAGACCAGGGGGCCCTTTGATCCGTTGGGTATAGTTAAAGCGTCCATCTGTCGCGCCTAATAAAATAAGCGGCGGTGAAATTTCACAAAGACCAAAGCCCAACGAATCCCCCCACCAGCTTCACCTTCAAATGTAAACAAAATTCCAGTGAAGAGGACGCGAAGTAACGAAGCTCCCTTCCCACGATATTTCTTTTGCTCCCCTCACCCCGTATCACCCTCAGGCTACTTGTAATTTGTAAACCAACCTCTCCATCTCCCCTTCACAGTCTTCCTCTTCTCAGATATCCTGGTTAACATGGTTCACCCGTTCCCAACTTTCGATATTGGTTCCCTCTTTCATTTCTCTGCAAAAGTTGATGAGCAGGGACTATGAAGGGGAAGTTCTGATGATCAAGAGGGCAGAAATCGATACGAGGGCACCCTTCAGGTCGGCTAGAGAGGCCGTTGCCCTGTTCGGAGAGAAAGTCTTAGCTGGTGAACTTTATACCACCAAGCTCAAGGAGGTAAATTCCAACTGTTTCTTTCTTTCTCCTTTCAAATTACCCGGATAGATATTCTCTTTCTATGTTGTTTTTTAGCCATGCTTGAGTAGTTTGATTTGAGGTTGCCACTTTGCAGCACTGAAAATGTTTCATATCAGTCAAACAACTAGGTATTGTGTTTTACCTTTTAAAATTATGTTAAGTAATTCGTTTGAATGCATTGCGGTTGATCATTTTTTTCTCTTTGATCAAAATTGAAAACAGTTTTCTGCTTTTCTTGCATGCGAAATCAACTGTTTCTATTGTCCCTAGATATGCTTGCTTGTGGCTGAGTGCAAGTGTTAAAATTAAGCTAGGGTGCTCCCTATGGTTTTTGGCCTTATCATGTGATGGAATAAAGGTGTAAAATTAACTTATCTGGCTATAAGATAATAGAATATAATAATAATAATTAGGTTGCTTAAGCTTGATTAAGGAATCAATCTCTGACTCTTGGTGAAGATATCTCCATTCCCCTTCGAGAATATCTGAGCATTATCCATCAAGCAAGCAAGCACCTACTCTGTCGGAGTCTATCAGTTTCCTTGGAAGGAATCCGTAGTCTTCTAAATTCATCAATTGATTTCTGGGATTGTTTATTTCTCACCATGCTATCTTCCCAAGTAACTAATTTACTGAGTTCATATCTTCTCGACTTCACACAGATCATTTCATTTGCTACCTTGTGGCAAATTTTTTAACTAAATAAAATGTCCAGTTCTCATAATCTGACTTACCTGTAAAAACTCCAAACCCTAGAGCTTAGAATGAGGAAGAACGGGTACATAACTGCTAGGCTACCGGCTTTTGTAATTGTTAAAAATCGTTAGATCGACATGTGGGTGCAATCAGCTTACAATTATTAGGAGCTTGCGCCCGGGTCGGGGAGGGCAATCACATATCTTGTTGCCGCTATCAGTCCTTGAATGTAGTTTCTGTATCGTCCCAAGGAGGCTAAGAACAGATCCTCCAGAGGCCACATTGATTGGATTTGAGGACCATTTATTTAGTTACAGTAATAGTACAAGAGACAGACACCAACCCAAAATAAACATCAGCCCCAGGCTCAGAGTTAACGAACTGCCCCACCCTCTTAGTTGCTTGACTAGCACATAACATACTTCCTTTCCGTGTACATAAACTCTGACATCTACTATTTTACTTGCCCAAAGTCAAAATGAGTAAAAATCTTCTATCAACTTTCAAGCAGAGGAATGGGTTTGAGAATTGACAGCGAAATACTGATTTATTCACTTTCATTTTCGTATTAGGACGAGGGGGAAGGACTCAAGGCGCCATGCTGGCCCATTAAAATGTTTGGGTCCAAGAAGCAGTTAAACTCTGTAGCCTCTGCTTGGAGCCTCGGGCCGTAGGAAGCCTCAAGAAACCTGATGGAAATCAAAACAAACAAAAACATTTTCAGATGAAGATTATCCTCAATGTACAAACAGAGAACAAACATTCCAAGTTTCCAATGTCTCTTTTCTATGGTAGATTCGTAACCCACGAAGGAAGAGAGTAATCAAATACTTTCAAGAAACTGCTATGTATTGTAAAAGGAAAAAAGGGAAAGAAACATCAAAGTAAAGGACAAGAAAATGTAATGGAGGAGAGTAGCAGCCAAGGTTATAATTTGATGATCAAACCAAAACATCGGATTTCCGACCATCCATAATCCCCTCTTGTGATGACTTGTTGAAGAACTCAATGCAGTCAGCAATGGCCTCGGTGTAGTGCGAATGGGACGAGTAATACGAGCTGCAAGAAGTCTTTGGCGGATCGAACCTGTCGCAGTTCGTTTGCTTGGCAGCCATGCTGGACGTGCCAGAAGATCCGCCAGAAGGAAGAGAAAATATGAGCCGCATAAGAATCTTGCGGAAACGGTTAAAGAGCTTCATTGCAGAGAAATTTAACTTGGGAGAGAGAGTGCTGGCTTGAGCATGAGGGGTATGGTGTCGGTGTAGGGTTGCACAGCCCCTTGCTTGAATGGCAAAGCTCTCTCTTTGAGGCCTGTACATTGTTAAATTTGTAGTAACGGGATTGGTCTTTCTCTCTCTGGTTTGTCTTGCCAGATGCCCTCCGGGAAGTGTAGTGCTATCATGTGTGTCGTTTGATTGTGGAGATATAAAAAGGGCGAGGTTCTCAAAAGGTAGGTGTTTATTCTATTTTGGAAGGTTCAAAGTGCATATTGAGAATGGAAAAAAGATGTTGGCAAAGACCATGTGCCCAAATCATTTGTATTGGGCTTCCCTTGTCCTCACAATGCAGTTTGTTTATTCCCAAGTTCCTTCGATTGATTATCTTCAACTAAAAGCAGAAGTCCAAGCAAAATAAGACCAGGCACTTATTAATCAACTTTCAATTTATAACCTTCTAATTGATCCGAGGGCCACATATATAGATGAATGAATTTCATTTGCAATTTAACATTCAAGCCAAAGGGAAAATTAAGGAAGTTAAATTTATAGCTGAACTAAATAATTTTACCCAATTTTTCCTTTTCCATTTAAACAGGGCAGGCAGTTTATTAAAACTAATATTGCTTGTCTACTTTTCTATCAAATATATATATACATTGCTTTGTCTACTATGAGTCATCCGGAGTAAGCCAATCCATACACAATGCACTTGGAAAGTTTAAGAGGCAAGGATTACAAGTGCTGGTGAATGATGAGTGACCCCCTTTGTCCCATAAAAATAATAAAAATGTAAAAAAAAAAAAAACCCCTTTAAAAGGATCTTTAACCTATGACCAATTGAATATTTGTGGGGCATGTAGAGGGAATCAAGCTCATACTCTGAATAATACTGTCTCTTCCAAAGTAATTATTCACTTTTGCTGTCTTGATCATTGATGGAAGTACTTTAAAATCTTCCACTAAAAAATTTTCATCTCAATCTTTTCTCAAATCCTCAGTTCTAGCTCTCCACCTACAGTGGTTGTTGACGCCAGACATGCCAAAACTTATACCATGTTTCTTTCATGTTCCTTTGGCGGCCTTAGAACAAGCTATGATCATTCATTGATTAGGCAGAAGTGTGTAAAGCTAAACAACTAAATCCGTTGATGAGATTTCTTAGCCAATTCTAAGCTAAAGAATTTGTGGTCCTAACCAAGCTAAATTCATAGTTTAGCTCCTCTCCGTACATGGACCAATCACTAAAGTTCTAAGTCCAATGAACAGGAGGGAAAGGAAACCCTACCCCCACTTTTGAAAGAAGTTAAAATTTGGAAAAGAATGAAACATGATGAGATTGGGAAGAGTTTCAGACGACATCACTAAGAGTGGAGGCTTAGGATAATGATTTGTTAAGACACACATGATTGTGTCTCGTACTTGCATTCTTAAACTAAGAGGTGGAACAATCATGAGCTTTACCACATTCCTCTCAAGTTTAATTAACAATCAAGGAGACGAATGAAGATTAGTGTTTTCCCCCTTGTCTGTTGGGCTTAATTTTTATCTTGTAAATTGACATTTGACAGCTTCTGGTAATGTAGACAGGGAGAGGAAGCTTGAATACGACAAAAGAAGGAAAAAACAAAAGACTTAATCCCATGCTAATTGGACCTCTAATGAGCCTACATTTGGGTCTGGCTGCCTCTGAAGGACCCAAACTCAGGAATCATGGGTTGAGCTTTGAGCTTGATTGCAGTTATCGGTTTAGGAGTCCTGGTCAAGATTGGTAGGCCAAGCCTGATAGATTGGATCCACAACCTTTTTCAACTTAACTAATTTGTTTCGTCACTTTCTACCCTTTGGATGCCTCCTTAAACATCAGGATGTTGGGAAAAGGCTACAAACCTCATCTTTGCAATGTTACAACAATGACAAGTGAAACAGGATGTCTTGACTATTGATCATCGTGGCTCAGATACTCTACTAGTGCTCTAGCCTTTGCCTTTCATTTATCAGATAAAAAGTTCTAGTAATAACTCAACTGTTTAGTATCAGAATGCATAAAAAATTGAAAACCCAAGATTTGAACCGGGCTTGGAATAAACTTTTTTTTTTTTTTTTGGGGCTTGGAATAAACTTATGCAGCAAAAGTTGCAGATATTTGGGTTTAGAAGATGCCTAATCTGTGTCTAAAACAGAGCAGAACTTCAACTACAAAACTATTACATTATCATTCACCAATACCACGTCAATTTGACCATCGCAGCAACATCGACAAGGTCAATGTCATGTCAGTCATTTTAATGAAAACAAAATTAACGAAGCTAATGATCACATTATTTATACGAATTAGAATAAGAAAACTAAATCAAACATGTGAATAGAATAAACACATTAAATACAATTTTTTTTCCTTTCCAATAATTTTGCGTTAGGTTAACCCATCTAGCATCTCTGTCCAACCAAAATACCGAACCGTCCATAATTAAATTAATTTATTACCATTATAAATTTCAGTCATTGTTCATATTCTATGTGCAAATTAATTAAATAATTCCAAAACCATTAAGGGTCGGTTATTATCTATTTGACTTTTATATCATTTGCATAAGCAATACCAAAACTAGAATAGACGCTAATATAGTAATATGCCTCTGTTCTTAGCAGGCCAACACAAACTATAACAATTAAACAAAGTCCTAATCAATTACTCATTCTAATTAAGTACTTGAAAATGAATTGGTAGCTTTCACCGACGACCCTGACAAGGAACCATGGCACAATCATCAACCTGTCCAAGCTCTACTTAATTACCACAAAGTCAAAAATTAAATTTGATTTGACTGATAGGAATCTTCTCATGACATGAGCATGTGATGGTCCCCCCAAACTTAATATATAGTTTTTAATGTGCAAGATTTTCATTAATCTCAACAGAGATTACATTGATTAAATACTTAATAATTTAATAATTTAATCAGTACCTGTAATGTTACATTGTTATAATTACAATATAAGATTCATTTGCCTTGAAATCCAAACACTTGAAACAAGAAGAAAGCAATGAATGTGCATATGCTCAAGCATGTGTCTGCAATTATCGTCAGTCCACTATGCTTTTTGTTATCAAACAAACCCATCATCCCTCAGGCCACACCTCGACCAGGCATTGTCCTCTTTCCCCTATCCTTGCTTAGTTGCATGGTCAAAGTCCACCAAGATCCCCACTCTTTTTTTTTTTTACTTTGCTTTTGCAATCATTCCAATATAATCTCACGTGGGTCTTAATGATGCTGGTCCAACTCCTTTCATATTCATGCCCCTTTCAGCTTAATATCAAAACTTTCAAGTACAAAAACGTTTTCCAATAAAAAAAAAGGAATGGGGTATTACTCAATTTATATCGAAATAATTCGATTTAATTATTTCTTTATTTTTTATTATAATTCAATCTATTTTTAAAATTTAAAATCCAACCAGTGATAATTTTAATAATTTGAATTTGATTAAATATGCTAAGGGGAGTGGCCTAGAAATGTCTGACTAGGGGTTTAAAGTTTGGTACCACAAACCCACCAACAAGGCACAGTTTTTAGGTGAGTGAATTAAGACAGTGAAAGATGTAAATGGAAGATGACACTTCAATGACTTTAATCCTCACTCTTTAAAGAAAAGAAAATTGCCGTTGCTTTGTCTATTTGTAGCACACTGTCTTCATCAACGGTTTCAGTGTCTTTAATTTTAAACATGTGAACCAAAGTGTACCAACGGAATTAAATGTTTGTATTACTCTCGAATATTAAATTTCGCCAAACAGAATTATCGATCAGGCGCGCGTGCACAGTTGAGCTAGCCACATTAAAAAAGAGAGAGACAGAGAGAGGTTTTGATCTCGTGTTAAACAACGTAAGATCTAAATTATGTACAGGGTTTAAGGTGGATCGTTTGATTCTAATCATGCCAAGTTGATGATGATATTTGACTTCAAATGAGTCAAGATTCAAGAGCTTTGTAGATGACCACGAAACAAGGAAGGATAGCCCTGGGATTAAAGACGACCAACTCCTCTAGATTGGAGTAGACGCCGGCGTAAGCGGCTAGGGAATCGTACGACCCAGCCGATACGCTGCTATTATCCTCCTCCAACGGCGCATCATCCGTCACGCGCTTCACCCTTCCCGCGATCACGCGGCAAACCAGCATTGCCCTACGTCCGTCTTTACAATCAAGTGAATCGTGGGCCCTACCGCTACTAGCCGTAGTGCGGACTCCTTTAAAATCTGCGACTGCGGCGGATCCGCCTTTGTTCTGGAACCCTTGTCTGATTATGGTGCACACCCCGCAACCAGGGACCGCGCCGCACAAGCTGGATGACCCACGCGCTCCGAGGGAGCACGTCGAGGTTGTGCAGTGGAAACGGAGGAGCTCGTTGCCGTCAGCTGCACACCTGGGGTTCTTCCTGGTGCTATTTAGTGCACGTGTCTTCACCGCGTCGCGGCAGTCCTCGAACCGTTGGATGGTGCGCTGGGTATTGTGGACTTTTAGTATCCGTTCGATTTTACAGATGGGATTGTCCTTCTTTAGCCAGCTGGATTTGAAGATAATCTCCACAATGTTCCGGCCCGAATCCTCTGGGCCCAACTCTGAAACTACACCAGCAAACAGCAAAAGAACCCGAATTAAATTTTTCTAAAGGAACTTTTGTTTTCATTAATGGGAATATTAATTCGACTCGTCGGTGGGGTCACGGCCCTCACAAACGGTGCCAAATTTAGCGTTACAGGTGGGGGAGTAATATGCACAAATGCAAAGGTGCCACGTCATTGTCAGAGTCCTTTCCTACATCTACCAAAGAGACAGCTGTGACATTTAACACCAGTAAATGAATTGTGGTGATTGCCGATGCAAGATTTACGGCAATCAAAAAGTGAGTGTTTGTTAAAGCAGCAAATGTAAGAAAATTACTTGGTTTAGTCAATTTTGTAAAGTGAAAAAAAGTAGTTTGAAATAATTGGTAAAACCATTTGACTGTAATAATTAGTCGTTAATACTTGTTTTCTATTGCATAGAAAAGAAGTGACACTTTTTCTTTAGAAAAGTTTGTAACTTCGGATTTGAGTTTCAATATTAAGACAAAATGAACCAAAAAAAGGACAATTAAGATACTCAAAGATAAAAGGATAAAAAAAAGCAGCCATGCAATCAAGTAAAATAAAACAACTTTTAATGTCTAAACTATAAAATAGTAGTAATTACTGTACAGTAATTCAGGAAATTTATGGTATGTCTAAACTAATTAACTAGCAGATAAGCTTGGAGTTAATGTAGATGTATGAAAATGTG